GTGTTCACATCTCCTGGCCCAGACAGATTACATCCACAGCGAGCTTGATAGTGAGGACACTGAGGTGCCACAAGTCATGTTTGCAGACCTTCTTTCAACAAAAGAGATATCAAAAGATTTGAGGCAGGAGAATGTTTCCATATTCCTAAAAGGGAGAAAGGTAGAATGCGTACAGTAGGAACATCGAGATAGATGGGGGACAAGAATCTGGAACGTATAAAAGATGCTTTGAGGGGCGCCTGGGTGGCTCAGTCAGTTAAGCGGCCGACTTCGTCTCAGGTCATGACCTCGCGGTCCGTGAGTTCGAGCCCCGCGTCGGGCTCTGTGCTGACAGCTCAGAGCCTGGAGCCTGTTTCAGATTCTGTGTCTCCCTCTCTCTGTGACCCTCCCCCGTTCATGCTCTGTCTCTCTCTGTCTCAAAAATAAATAAACGTTAAAAAAAATTTAAAAAAGTTGCTTTGATGCTATTTTTTGTGTAAGAAAAGGGGTGTGTGTGTGTGTGTGTGTGTGTGTGTGTGTGTGTGTCTGTGTACATACGTAATACATACTGTTTGGATTTGCCTGAACAAAACACTGAAAACATGAGGGAGAAGGAGAAATAGAGAGAGGGAGGGTAAAAGGGAGGAAGGGAGGGTTCCTTATAGGGGATGAGTATTGGAGTAGAAAATAATTTCCTACTATATATTTCTTTCTTTTTGAATGTTAATGTATTACTTATTTAAAATAATTTTTTAATGTTTATTTTTGAGAGAGAGAGAGAGACAGCATGAGGGGGGCAGGAGGGTCAGAGAGGGAGACACAGAATTTAAAGCAGGCTCCAGGCTCTGAGCTGTCGGCACAGAGCCTGATGCAGGGCTCGAACCCACGAACCGTGAGATCATGACCTGAGCCGAAGTCAGAGGCCCAACCGACTGAGCCACCCAGGTGCCCCAATATATTTTATTTTTAAAATAAAATAAAATTTTAAGTTATTTTGTAGTCACTTGGGTAAATAAGCAGGGCTCCAAAGAGCCTTCAGGTTGGATAAGAGCAGGCCATGTCATATCAACATCTTGCTTTCTCTGGGAAGGTTTCTGGATAGGAAGCTCAGGATTGTACACTAGGTCCAGTGTCTGTGGATCGTATCATTTGGGTAAGGACACTCACCAGAGATCTGTGAGCAAGTTGGAGAGTCTAGGCTGGATGCCAGGAATAATAGCTACTGTGTATAATGATTTCTGACCAGTGATTTGATATTAATCTTAGAAACTTTCTAAGAAAAAAGCCCTGCAGCTTACCATTAGCTTTATGTTATTTTACATTTAATAAAGAACTTGATTAAAGAGATAGAAGACATACCTATCAATTATGTACCTAATACAAAGTTGGAAGATATAACAACTACATTGGACAATAGAATCAGGGTCTAAAACAATCCTTACCAATTGAAGCAATGGAGTGATTCTAATGAGATGAAATAACAAGGCAAGGTCATACACTTGGATTTTTATTTTATTTTAACAACTTTACAAGCATAGTTCTGGGAAGGTGGAGATTTAAAGCAGCATAAGTGGAAAAAGTCTCAAGTATTTTAGTGGTCAGTTAACTCAGTATGAATATGTAATGTAATGTGGCTGCCAAAAGAAAAAGAATACCATTTTTAGCTACATTAATAAAATTAATAGTAGGTGATAGTACTCGTCTACTCTGCAGGAGTCCAACGACACCTGGAGTATTAACTGGGGCCATGCTTATAAAAAGGATATAGACAAAGCAAAGCATTTTAATGGGAGCAGCCAAAATGGTGATGCAACTAAAAGACGTGTCATTGAAAGTGGGTATATTTAACCCATTTTGGCGACGTCATATTCCATTCTATGTATATATAACATTTTGTATATCCTAATGGACATTGGGGTTGTTTCTGCTTTTTGGTATTATGAATAATGCTGCTAAGGACATTTGTGTTCAAATTTTTGTGTGAATATGATATTTAATTTCCCTTGGGTATATACACAGAAGTGAAATTGTTGGGTCAAGTGGTAAGTCTACTCTTTGAGAAAATGCCAAACCATTTTCCACAGAAGCTGCACTATTTTATATTCTATCAGCAATGTATGAAGGTCCCAGTGTCCACATCCTCGCCAACATTTTTTATTATTTCTGTTTTTAATTATAGTCATCCTCGTGGTTGTAGAGTGATATCTCATTATGGTTTTGATTTGTGTTTTCCAAGTGATTAATGGCATTGAGCATCTTTTCATGTGCCTATCAGCCATATGTATATGCTTTTTGGAGAAATTTACATTCAGATCCTTTACCAGTTTTTACATTGTGTTGCCTTTTTATTGTTGAGCTTTAAGGCTTCTTTATAGTCTGGATACTGGATCCTTATCATGTGTATGATTTGCACATATTTCTTTCCCCATTCTTTATGTATGTATGTGTGTGTGTGTGTATGTATGTGTGTATTATATATGTATGTAGATCATATATGTATATATTACACATATATGTATATGTGTGTATATATTACACATATATGTATATATGTATATATACATACATTATATATATGAAGTTTATTTATTTATTTTGAGAGAGAATGAGCATGAGTGAGCCAGGGAGGGGCAGAGAGAGAGGGAGAACGAGAATCTGCCAGCGCAGAGCCTGATGCAGGACTCAACTCTGCAAACCATGAGATCACGACTTGAGCCCAAATCAAGAGTCAGATGCTTTACTGACTGAGCCTCCCAGGAACTCCCTATATAACGTTAGTTTAAAAATAAGGTTTAAAATAACAACTCAAACTCCTTAGACTTATCACTGATTAAATTGTAAAATATAAACTGATACGATCTGTAATTTAACTGAACATTTCCCACTCCCCTAAAAATCAGGTTTTGACTTAGATTCATCATATAGACTTTTATCTCAATACCACAAATAATAATTGTAACCAAGGGCATCAAGGTATCTTCCCTATATCCTGTCTTTTCCTGAGGCCTTGAGCTCCAATACCATGTGGGTTCCATCCCATACCTCTATGTCCATTTCTGTTCTCCAAGCCTAGGACCGGGCTTGTGATGAAAGTCGGGGAATCTTGGACCTCCTCTGGCCTGTTAATATGGAGAACTGAGCAGTGTACCCCCTGTGTGAGTCAGTCTCACTTTGCGGTAAGATTTTTCTCCTGACCTTTTCTGCATTTCACATCCATTCAAATTGATCTTCTCCATCAGTTACAGACTAGTGAGGTTTTACTGTAAAATCTGAGATGCTGCTGTATCATCAAGTCGTTAAAAGTGAGTTCCATCGTCTCTCTCCAAAGAGGAGATCTTTTCTGCTTGGACATATCTCAGGAACTCTGCAGAAGACAAATGAACAGGAATTTGGGCTTGAACTGATCAGCAGACAGCTTGGCAACTGTTCTAGGATGCCATCTGCAGATGTTAATTATCCAGTGTGGGTCTTCTAATAGCTCTTGACCTCCTCTTGGCTCTACCAAATGCTTTTTTTCCTTCCTGATTTTTTATTATTCCTCTTGGGGTGAGACAAATCAGAGGTAACACTGCTGATTCTTTTTCAGCCAGTTAAATGTAGATGAATTACTAATGTGGAAACATTAGTTTTTCATTCGTCTTGTGAACATTTGGAGAACATGATCTTCTGCTCTATTTTGGCTTCAAAAACTTCTCTCCAGTTCTTCCTACTTCCCAGACTGTGTAAACGAAATCAAGTTTTTGAAGAGTTGGTGATGAGACTGAAAAGCAGCGGGAAGAACAGGCCTTGTGACATGAACCCTGAAGTCATTTTCTGTTGTGGAGGAACTTGAAGAAGAGAGACCGCTTTTCTGCTTCATCATCTCCCTTGTCTGTTATCCAAAGTAGTTGCTCGAAGCCTTTTATTTCTCTCATCAAGCTTCTTTCTCATTCCCTTACACTGCAAACGTGGTCTTGCTCTCTACCAAAAACAGAACAATAGATCGGAACTCAATGAAATTCCCTTTTCTCCAGCTGTAAACCAGTATGCATATCCATCTTTGTTTCCTTCCTGCTCTTCTTTCTAAGACCAGTCCCTTTAACAGTGCTCTCAGTCCCTGCCCCTTCTTCCTGCAGGACTTGGTTCCAGCAGTTATCCTTTGTCCTCTCCTATATGCTAAAGGTTTCTGCTCCTGGCTGCTTCCACTCTCCCAGGCTCACTTCTTTCGCATCCTAAGAATTCCTTCTCTCCATGCTGTTCCTCTCTGAAGCACGAGATGTTCTAGAGGACTGATTTGTAGTCACCAGCTCTATGTGCTCAACTCTTTGCAAGTCCATTTCTGCTCTCCCCACCACCCCCATCCCATCCCTTCTCTGAAACTGTTCTCTCATAGGGCTCCAGTGACTTTCCACTGTTAGTTCCAGTGTCACATTTCTGTTTTTGTCTACCTTTCTGAGGCAACAGTCATTCTTACTCCTTCACTCAGTGGAAAGTTCTAATGAGTTTTAACTTTGATGCTCAGAGTTCAGGTATATTCATTTGATACTATGAGATTTTTTTCTTGTCTTGGTATATAATTTCAAATTAAAAGAGACTTTATTTATCACTCTAAGCAGCCAAATCTCTGGTTAGTGTGGTGGTAGTTACCGTTTTTATGGTCTAAACTGCCTTGTTTGTATGGTGACTCATAGAACCACTTCTTTTTCCACTCCCCTCTTCCCGAATTTTTTTTTTTTAATGTTTTTACTTATTTTTAAGACACAGAGAGACAGAGCATGAGCAGGGGAGGGGCAGAGAGAGAGGGAGACACAGAATCTTAAGCAGGCTCCAGGCTCTGAGCTGTCAGCACAGAGCCTGACGCGGGGCTTGAACTCACGGACTGTGAGATCATGACCTGAACCGAAGTCGGATGCTTAACCGACTGAGCCACCCAGGCGCCTCCTCTTTGTATTTAAATTATCTGTGCTAATGGAACTGACTGGCTCATTTTGTCTGTATTGGTATCTGTAACTAATACTATATTTCTCTACTCTTCTTTACAGAGAGACCTGTCGGGGCACAAGAACATTGTGGGCTACATTGACTCCAGTATCAACAACGTGAGCAGTGGTGATGTATGGGAAGTGCTCATTCTGATGGACTTCTGTAGGGGTGAGTATATGACCCATACCTTAAGCTCGCATTGCTCTGGAACTTTGATTGTCAAGGGCATGGGGGTCATTTCAGTTAATGTGCACTGTGCCCTAATGTATGTTGTTGTGGTTTTAAAGATGTAGAAACTGTGAGGCTAAAAGATACAGAGCATGCTGTCACGTCTTGGTTATTCTTATGGTGGCAAACAATTTGAAATGGTGGATAATACAAAACTCCCTTTTTGTTCGATTTAGGAAGGTTTGGTGCTTGTGTATGAATGAGAAAGGATGAGGGGGAGAATGAATGTGTTATTTGTGATGCTTTAAAACAAGTGGTGAAGGCACATAATAAAGACCCAACTCCAGATGGACTGAAGAAACGATTCAGCCTCTCAACTCCCTCCCTCCTCTGTTCTCTTCTCCACCCACACCACCTTGTGTTGGGGAGGGGGTGGGTGGGACATAATCCTTTTCGTCTAATGGAAATGACCTTTCCTTTCCTCTCCTTGCTTGCAAGCTGTAATTGCCAGTGAGGCTCCATTCACACGATGCTGCAGTTACCAGTAGAGTTAAGTAGTTGAAAGCTTGGAGTTTCAAGCCACATTTATCTCCGGAAATCCAGACTGTAGCATGAATTGATTCAGATTTGACTGCGTTTCAAACAGCCAGCCTGGAGGTTTGACTTTTTTTTGGCTTAAGCAGCTGCCACTTATAGGCTTGGGTCACTGTCTCCTGTTTGGTGCCCTGTTTTATAATCATCCTTACTTCCACTGACATTTTCCTTGCCTTTAAAGATACTGACCATAAGTTAAATATGTTGTTAACCCTCAAAATGTGATGTTAATCAATAATTTTAGCCTGTCCTGTAAGAACTCTTAAGCTGATTTTATAAAATACTACCAAATTTGAACTTGACAGTTTGTTTCATCCTGTCTATTCCCTTTTGGGTGTTAAAATATTTAGAGACGTGGCAGTAGGAGCATCCAGGGATCTGGATAATTTTGTAAGTGAGGTCATCAATCTTACTGTCCTGGAGAATAAATGTTGGGGTAGCAGTTCTACATTCTTGGCAGCAAGTAGTTAGTGAAGCCAGAGATACCACGCCATTCCTAAAGCACAGGCTAAAAAGCTGTCTTCTGGGGCGCCTGGGTGGCTCGGTCGGTTAAGCATCCGACTTCGGCTCAGGTCACGATCTCGCGGTCCGTGAGTTCGAGCCCCGCGTCAGGCTCTGTGCTGACGGCTCAGAGCCTGGAGCCTGTTTCAGATTCTGTGTCTCCCTCTCTCTCTGACCTTCCCCCGTTCATGCTCTGTCTCTGTCTCAAAAATAAATGAACGTTTAAAAAAAATTTTTTTTTTAAAACATTTTTTTTTCAACGTTTATTTATTTTTAAGACAGAGAGAGACAGCATGAATGGGGGAGGGGGAGAGAGAGAGGGAGACACAGAATCAGAAGCAGCCTCCAGGCTCTGAGCCATCAGCCCAGAGCCTGACGCGGGGCTCGAACTCACGGACCGCGAGATCGTGACCTGGCTGAAGTCGGACGCTTAACCGACCGAGCCACCCAGGCGCCCCCCAAAAAAATTTTTTTTTAAATAAAAAAATAAATAACAAGCTGTCTTCTTCTTGCTCTTGGAGTCTATTATGTAGTCTGATTCCTACTAAAAGATATGACAGGTTGAACCTTGGGGCCTCATCTCATACAAATGGGGACAGTAGACCCAAGTGGTTATAGCAGGACCATATTGTCGCTTCTACTAATCTTGAAGATGTAATGAAGGCAGCTCACGTCTGGAGTGCTTTATAAAATAGACTGTTTTTGATGCGTTAGAAGAGGCACTGGATCGCAAGAAGACAAACATGGGCCCGGGAACCAAGACACTTGGGTGCCTCGGCCAGCAATCAGCTCTGTTACCTTGGGCCAGGTTGCTTCTCTGTGGAGAGCCGTTCATTGTCTTGGGTAAGTCGGGAGTCTGAGTGTTTCTAACTCTCCCTTGCTCTGTGTCCCCTCCAGGAGGCCAGGTGGTCAACTTAATGAATCAGCGCCTGCAGACAGGTTTTACAGAGAATGAAGTACTCCAGATATTTTGTGACACCTGTGAAGCTGTTGCCCGCCTGCACCAGTGCAAAACTCCTATTATCCACCGTGACCTGAAGGTAACAGGCCGCACTGTTTCATGAAGTGTGTTCAGGGTATTTTCCATCTGCCCCGGGGATGGGGGAGATGCCTTGGGCATGTGAGAGAAGCTTCAGGCATGGAAACCTTACATGTCTTACATTCTGCCTGGGGAGAGAAAATAGAAATTAAAATAAAGAAAGTATAAAACAGGTATCACTTTTATTACTTAGGTAGTCTTTAGAAATTCTTTATAATCATCTGCCTGAATACATGCTGTTCTTGTTTTTCCTGATAGAGTCCCAGTTTTACTTTTCCAGGGTTATAGAAAATAATATGCTCATTTAAATGGTTTGTGAACAGTGATGCTTGGTTTTTAAAGTCTCTCTTGTATTTTGCAAAATCCATTAAGTTATTATTTAAAAATTTTGTTCTACTAATTACCATCTCCTTGTAGCCAGCCTTTCCTATTCTAGTCATTTGACAGCGTTTGTTGAATGGCATTGGCACCCGGTTAGGATTCACTGACATGTGCCATGTACCCTACTAGACGCTTTATGCGCACTCTTTGGAGGAAGATGTTCTTCTTTACATTGTATAATCAAGGAAACTCAGGTCACATGACTTGACTGAGGTCATACAACCGGGAAGGAGCAGCACCAGAATGTGAAGCTAGCTCTTCTGATTCTAAATTACAATTTCTTTTCATTACCCCTGTGTTTTGAGAAACACGCTTCATGGCTAATAACTTATATCAGCAGCCCCTGGTGTACTTGTTAAGTGCAGGCTACTGGATTCTGCACTGAATCTGTTGGGCTATAATTTTTATGGTGGTGTCAGGGAAGCCCAGGAATTCATAGCTTAATAATCGCCCTGGGTGGGTTTTGTGTGTTTTAAAGTTTGAGGAACACAAGGGGCATGCCAGCATTTCTGTTTTGAGGGATTTTTTTTTCTTTTTAGCTTTTTTTAAAAAATGGAGATATAGTTCATACACCATAAAACTCACCCTTTCGAAGCATACAGTTCAGTGGCTTTTACTGTATTTACCAGGCTGTGCAACCATCACACTATCTGACTCCAGAACATTTCGTCTCCCCAAAGGAAACCGTGTGTATCCATCAGCAGTCACTCTTCACTCCCACCTCACCTCGGCCCCAGGCAAACACTAATCTGCTTTCTGTTGCCTGTTCTGTGCATTTCATATAAACGGGCTCATTCAGTAAGAGGCCTCTCGTGTCTGACGTCTTTCACCAAACGTAATGATGTTGTCAAGGCTTATCAGTGTTGCAGGGTGTAGCACCACTTCATTTCTTCTCATGGCATGATATTCACAGTGTAGATAGACTACATTTTGTTTATCTGGTCACTGATGGACATTTGAGTTGTTTTGACCTTGGATATTCCGAACGAGACTGTGAACACCTGTGTACCTGTTTCAAGTGGGCACATGTCCGTTCTCTTGAGCATCTACCTAGAGGTGGAATTGTTGGGTCGTGTGGTAACTACGGTTAACTCCCTGGGGAACTGCCAAACTGTTTTGTAGAGTGGCTGTGCTGTTTCTCTGCCACCAGCAACACATGAGGGTGCCGTTTTCTCCACATCCTCACCAACCCTTACCGTCCTTTTTTATTTTAGCCATCCCGGTTAGTGTAACGTGGTACTTACATCGCGGTGTTTCTGTAGTAAAGCAGTGAGCTTAAGGGAAGATAGGTACATAACTTCAAAAGCCTTAGATAGCCCCCTCCAGTGTCCCTCTACCCACAGTCAGCCCTTTTTCTAGTAGGAAAGGGAGAATACATTTCAGCAAGTATTATGAGCCTAGCAGAGTACAAGTACATAATTCTGTGGAACGGGGTACAGTAACACGGTATAATACGGTTCCTACTTCCCAGATGCTTTGGTATCGGTGACAGGATATAAATGAAACAAATGAAGTGTTTAGATTTGAAACAGAGACAGGTGAAATACAGAACTTTGTAGAACAAAGTGATGAACAAGCAGAGTTATCAAGCTGCTTAACGTACGATCGGGTAGTGGGACCAGGTAACGCAAGTTGGGATCTTCTGGAAAAGTGGGATTTTACAGGCTTGTGGGATTTAAGTGGTCACAAAGAGGACGAAGGACATGTCAGGCAGAGAGCAGATGCTGAGGGCTACCTAGAGAAGGGGACAAGGAGGCCTTAGAGCATGCGTGTCCGTCTCCAGGCACACCTGTGCCACAGCAAGTGCCTGCCAGGGCATGAAGGTGAGGGCAAAGGAAGGAGGCAGAGAGGGCCACTGAGCATCCTTGTAGAGAGTGCTGATCCCGTGTTCTCGAACAGAATCTTCCTTTATTTTAACTGGATTAAATGAGGCCTCAGTGATGAATCTTTTCATACCTGTAAATAACACCTACCTAATTTGCACATTCCCAGCATCTCACTGCTGCTGTGAGGCGGTTGGTTAAGTGTCGTCCAGTGATAGGAGCCTGAAGTACAGAGCTCAGGGTCTACCTGGGGACAGGAAGTAGGATGGGAGTAGGAGCCCCGGACTCTCTCTTCGCTGCCCTGAATGGTCCATGAGATATTTTAGCAGAAGAACGTGGAGCAAAGTGGAATTGGAGGAGAGGCTGCCACGCTGGTTCCCAGCTCATCCGTAGCCCTGTACCCTTTGACCCTCCTTGGTGCTCCTGAAAGTCAGCACAGTGCTGGCAACACACTCTGGGGCTCTGTAGTTGTGTTTTAATGCATCGGGAAGACTGTCAGGCCTGCTGCTGGGTTGCCGGGGGTGATTCAGGAGACTTTGTTTCCATTTCTCCTCTACCTTGGAAATAGGGAATGTAAATAGGGGCCCCTGAGAGGAGGCCTCGATTGTGATTGTTCCAAAAAAGTCCTGTGGCTGTTAATTGCAGTTATTGACTCCTGGTTGTTTTGACTGAAGGTTTCCCAGACTGCCCATATCTTATACTCTGTGCCGTATAGCTGTTTTGGTTAGCAAATTAGATTTTATTGATTTATACTAATATGTGCCCGGTGGGCAGTCAGTCCGTTTGCCTCCCGCACTGCCAGCCTCCTAAGGCCTGACCAAAAAGTCCCTGTGTACCTGTTGTTTGCCATCACGTAGTCTCGGACACTCTGAGCTACATGTCCAGCCACTACAGTCCTAGCGGTAGCCAGAGCCTAGAAGTTCTTAATTCTCCTGTTGGCCAGAGGAGGTGCTGGTTGCTGATCTGTAGTTGCTTCTCTAAGCAGATTTACATTTGGTAAGGAGGCACCATCTTGAACAAAAGTAAGTACGACATGGAAAGGAGCACAGGCCAGGCCAGCTGCAGATCCCCTTGTGGAGTCAGTGCCACCCTGGGTCTGCTTGTTCACACGCAGAACAGAGGAAAAGCCCCTCTTGCCCTGCCTGCCACGTGTGTGGTCTTTCTTTCAAATTATGTGCGGGAAATAAACTGAAAGCGGTCCCTATCCTGAAGCAGCTTATGTTATAAAAATAACCATTACCAAAGTTCTGTTCGTTATTGGAGGTCTTTCTTCAAATACGATATTTTAGCATATTAATCATTTCCCTGTTTTTGTTTAATTTTTATCTCCCTGAGGAAAGAAAGAGATCATTGCAGATCATGGGGTCATAGAGCTGGGAAGGTCACCTAAGCCAGCCCCCTCCTATTACCAATGAGGAATCCTCTGCCCAGAAAGGCTGTGACCTGCACAGCTAATTCTGTGGTCAAACTAGAACAAAGGCCAAGGGTTTTTACTCCCATTTTGGTGTTTGTTTGTTTTTGCTCTGTTATACCATGCTGTCTGTCCAGGCACTTAAGAAGGGGTTAAGATTTAATAAGTGCATTCAGATTGAGAAAGTCATGAATGTGTCCTCTTTCGTCAGAAAAGAGATTTTGATTTCGTGAAGTACAATAGGATGAAGATTCTTGTCCCATTTTTAGAATCACAAGTTTGAACACCTACATTTATCTAATCCTCCAAAATTTCTGGTGATTGAAATGCCTGAATGCCATATCTGTTTGGAATAATGTGAAGAGGAAGGGTCAGTAGGAGGTGGCTTTCCAGACCTTTTAGCTACAGCTGTAAGCAGAGTTCGGGAGTGACAGCTTTAATAACCCTCTTAAGCCGATGGGTTGGGAAATAAGGTCAGCAGCATTAAACCCTCAAAGAGCTGGAAGAATGTAGGATTGTAAGCAGTGGTGACCACCATTAGGCTTACATCCTAAGGGACTTTGCCAAAAACAGATCACTAGGAAAGTTCTCTGGAGCTTCCAGAAGATGATACACAAATGTCCAGTTGGTTGTCTCCCTTCCTCGTCCACCTTAATTCCTCTGGGCCCTGCTCTAGACCTGGCCTGAGTCGCCTCCCCTCTAGACAATTGCACCCGCCCTCGTGTTCTCCCTTCTCCTCTCTCACCATGCTAACCTTCCTAAAACACCTCTTTCCATCTGCTCAGTGTCTCCCTAGTGACCTTCCTCAGTCTGTCCTCTGTCAGCTGCTCTGGTCCTCTCTCTCCCTTCATGGTTGCCGGTGTGAACTGCCCTCATTCCTTGATGGCATGATGCGTATCAGTGCAGCGGTGAGGGTGTAGCTTCAGCACGCAGGCAGACTGAGCCCCATCCTGCCCTACCAGCCTAGTGACCTCAGGCATGTTAGGTAACTGGGCTCAATTTTCTCATCTCTTAACTGGGGACAGTAAGACTTTGTAAGAATTTGTAGGAATTTCATGAAATCCTGTAGGTAAAAGTGCCTCCTAGTGAGTGCTGCTAGTTGCTGATACGATTGTTATTGTCATCATTCCTGCTTCTCTGCCTTTGGTTCTATTATGAGTTTCACTCACCTAAGTCCTTCACTTCCCCAAGGCCCAGCAGTATCCGGCCTCCCCATTCACAAGGGCGCTAGCCCTTAGTATGCCCAGTCCCATGTCCTCAGCTTTCTTTGTGGCACCAGTGCCCAGCACAGTACTGTCCCAGCCAAGGTGGCCTGCTTCTGTGCCTCAGATGCCTCAGGCCTGCCCCCTCCTCTCCTCTGAGAGTGCCCCTCCCCCAGGGGGTCTGTGGCTGCCCTTCATTTGGGTCTCTGCTCACCTCATCCCAGTGACCTTTCCAACTGTGCCATTTGCAGTAGCATCCCTCTTCCCCTTAGATATATTTAACCTGTTGGCTTTTTTTTTTATAACAGTTATCACCACCTGGCAATTATATTTACTTCCTTACTCTCTTCCACTAGACTCTACATGACACGAGCAGCTGAACTTGGATTTGTTCATAACCTTATCTCCAGAAGCTACTTGGCATATAGTAGGAGTTCAAATGTGTGTGTGTCTCTCTAAAATGAGTGGTAATAACTTCTTAGGTTTATATAGGGAGACTTATAGTTTGCTCTCACATACATTCTCTTGCTTGCTTCATAAAAACCATGATAGAAATAGTATTAGCTGTACTTTGCAGATGAGAAACAAGCCCAAAGAGGTTTAAAGGTTTGTCCAAGGTCAGACATCTAAATAGTCCCTGAGCTTTTCTGACCTCCAGGTCCAATGTGGTTGCCGAGCACCAGGCTCTGTGTTAAGTGTGCTGGTGGTGACGAAGGGCAGCGGCCAGCTTGATCTTGGAGGTTTCCACGGGTGTTACAAGTCACAGGGACAGACTGAGAAGGCGCAGAGGGTGTGGCCACTGCTGAGGTGGCTGCTGCTAAGCGAGTTCACCTTCGCAGTCTCATGATCCTCCCAGCAAACCTGCAGAGCCACCGGAGCAGGGCTTATGGTTCTTACCTGCATTAGTATTTCTTTGATATTGATAAGGCTTTCCCCTACGTTGGTATTTCTGGCTTTAGGTCCACTTTTGTACACACCTTTACTTTTTAACTGCTTTTCCTGCAAATACAGTCTTGTGCAATGTTATCTTTATGGGAAGGTTGATAACGGTATAACTGCTGAGTGCTGCCACTCTGGAGCTAACCAGAAATACAAACCGAGTTTTTTAGGTGAGGGGGATAAAAAACAAGACAAAAACCCTTATGTGCCTCATCGTTATTCTGTCTTTTGTCTACTCAGTTTTCCTTCCCTCTGACCCCCTCACCCCCACCCCCACTGCCTCTGGCCCAACCCAGTGATTTTGGTCCCTGGAACTACCTTATTTGTATTTTGACGTGAACTCACTTAACAGTGTTTTAGAATGTACAATCTAGCATTAGAAGAATAGAAACTAATTTGGGAAGGGACTGAACACATATAATGGGAGATGCATGGTTTCACGTGAGACCAGGAAGGAAGATCACTGCTAATGCATACTGAATAAGGGATGGAAGGGTATCTGGTGTATGTAAAATACTTGACTGGGTATTGCAGGAGACACACAGGCATAGTGTAATTATAGACCAGAAGTTGGCAAACTTCTGCAAAGGACCAGATAGTAAATATTTTGGCTTGTCAGCCAGATCGTCTGTCACAACTACTCACCTCTGCCACTGGAGCTCAAAAGCGGCCATAGACTAGAGGATAAGTAACCAATGGGCATGGCTGTATTTGGCCCAAAGGTCTTACTTTGGCAGCCCCTCCTATGGACAGCAAGTTCTGCAGATTTTGTAGGATGGCCATGGAAGGTTTTACTGAGGACTTGCGACTTGAGCAAAGCCCTGAAGAATGGCTACGATTTGACAGGTAGAGAATGAGCAATTGAATAAAATGATAAGCCTGGCGATACAGGGAATGTTTACGAGACACTGAGCAAAGCAGCCTAGCTAGTGGTTATACACCCGATTCCTCATTGACTAGATTCCTGTTATGGGATATTTGTGAACATAAAGGACCGAGGCAGCCCTGTCCTTAAGCTTGTATCCAGTACACTGGGCAAATATAGTCATCATACCCACCTCAGTTGGTGGATACTTATGGGTGGGGACTGTGAGTAATTCATCTGCTTCCTACCCTGGCAGAAAGGTAATTACCTGCCTTTCTCTAGAATTAAATTGCCTAGGTTTGCTTCCCAGCTTCATCACTGTGAGTCTCACTCTCCACATCTGTAAAACAGGGATATTATTATATTATTATGAGGATAATCCGTGTAAAGTGATGAGTACAGTAGTACTCGTAATAGTAAAAGCTTAGGAAATCGTAGCTGTTCTGTTTATAACCTCTAAAGTAGATTAGAAATATTAGTATTGTTTTGTCGGAATTATTTTAGATTCCTAAAGTGAGTATATGTTCAGGATAGCTTGACTGTTTTACTTTGTGTAAATAGGTTAAACTGATGAGTTTTTGAAAAGCTGTAGATGGTAGAAATATTTGCTTCCCTTAGCCTTGTCTCTGGAGAACAAGAGCATATCCATGAGAGATGATAGCCATAGTTCATACTGCCTTATGTGGCTAAAAATCCCAAGGTCAAAATTCTAGGTTAAAGTGATTGTAGGTTAGCAGTGCCCCAGGTGCAAAAGCATATCCTTTCTGGAAGAACAATAGACTTTAAACTCAGGCCTCATAGGCTTCCCCCAGATGAATTCCAAGGAACATGAGTTAACAGCATCAGTAACAAAACCCCTCATAACAGTACCAGGAGTGAGACTCAGTAGGAGTAAGAGACAACAAATAAAAGAATCAGTTTGCAGCAAAGACTTTAGGTGTTAGATTTAGCAGGTACAAACTATAAACATTTTTATAATAATGTAATTTTTAGGAGAATTAAAGCAAGTATAGGTAGAAACGAGTATTGGAACAAGAGACTATCACAGTTGACCAGATTTTTGTTTGTTTGTTTTTTTAAAGAACCAATATGTGCAGTAATAGGGTCTGGGTATTTGGTGGCTCCCATCTTGCTTCTGACAGACACACACACACACACACACACACACACACACACACACACACAGTATTAAATGTGTTCCTCTTTTTTAACTTATACAATTCAACCAACATTTCTGTACCAAGCACAATGGTAGGCACTGGCAGAGAAGACTACAAACGCAATGAAGAGATGGTGCTTGTCTTTTTTTTTTTTTTTTTACATTTATTTATTTTTTGAGAGACATAGAAAGACAGAGCACAAGTTGGCGAGGGGCAGAGAGAGAAGTGGACACAGAATCCGAAGCAGGCTCCAGGCTCTGAGCTGTCAGCACAGAGCCTGATGCGGGGCTCGAACTCACAAACCATGAGATCATGACCTGAGCCGAAATCAGACGCCCAACCCGACTGAGCCACCCAGATGGGTGGCTTAGCCACCCCGAGATGGTGTTTGTCTTTAAGGAGCCTATAGTAGACTCTGGCCTTTGTTTTCCGAAGGTGATCAGTCTTTGGAAGGCTGAAGACAAAAGACAACGGAGACTATAGACTTACTGGCCGAACAAGATTTTTTGGCCGCCATTTTACTGCCCATGCATAGCTAGGTCTGTCCTCCAACATACCGGTCAACGCAATTCACCTAGACCAAAAATGACTCAGTACATCCTGAGTACAGAAGTGCCCACTATTTTGGAGTTATTCTTGCACTGGCATACTCCTTTGATACCAGAGATTTCTGTAGATTCTGGTCTTTGTAAGCTCCCTTCTACCTGGAACTGCTAACTCGCTGCCCAAAGCATTCATCTGCAGAAAGATAAGGTAATACTTCAACAGGAAAACTGGACATTTGCCCACAGGCCTTTAATCACTTTGAGAAGTAACTAAAATACAGCAAATGTTTATTAATTCTGGAAATTCTAACTTACTGTAGTAAAGAAATTGATATATGCATGTATAAGACTCAAGTGAAATCACTGATGTCAGGAAGAATGAAGTACTGAAGGGCCATGGGGAAAGAGTGACATTTGTCTGAGTGGGTGCTTGAGGAAGGCTTCAAAGAAGACGTGGCATCTGAACTGGAGTTCGGAAGATGAATGGGATATTGATAGTTGGCTAAGGGGGTGGAGGTCATAGAGAGTATTCTAGATGGAGAGAAAAGCATGAAAAAAGATACAGAGACTTAAAAGTGTTAGGACTGTTTCTGCCAAGGTGAGGAATGTAGCTGGAAATCTAGGTAAGTGGGACTCATTTTCCCATTGTGGACTTTCCTCTATTTACCCCCTCTACTCTCATTTTACCCTGTTACTGTGCTTTTCTTTTTGTTCACTTGGGACGACCCCTGGCGAGATACTTGGTGGGGAAGAACTTTCCCGTGCATATTAGTGGGATTATCAGAAATAGAATATTTATGTGACTATGAACCAGATTTTCATATGCATTACTAAATAATATCTTGGATCGGGTGGTTGGGGAATGTTTTTCAGGTTGAAAATATCCTCTTGCATGACCGAGGCCACTATGTCCTGTGTGACTTTGGAAGCGCCACCAACAAATTTCAGAATCCACAAACTGAGGGAGTCAATGCAGTAGAAGATGAGATTAAGAAGTAAGCCTTTCCTCTTCTCTTGGAGTTTCGTCCATTTGCAGATCAGCAACATTACTTTCAGCTTCCGGATGAGGTCAGGGTGGAAAGACCAGGGTGCTAGTCATGGCCCCCCTTGTCTCAGAGCATCATGTTGGGCAGTGGGATTGTTTGATTTTAAGAGGAGGCTGTGGAGTGGTTTGCAAGCGTTGGTCAATAGCGTAAAATGAAGGAATCATACAGCGCTTTATTAATGGACCAGTGGTCACTGTATATAGATATTTTGACTTAAGTCGCACAGCCCTTAAAAAGCTGAATGGTACACAAACCATAGAAGTACTGTGATGTTTTTAAGCGGAATCACAACAGCTATGACATTACCAGTCAGTTGGATGTGCTTTTCACTGAACCCTGCATTGCTATGTATTCCTTCTTGCTCCTAAGGAGGTCAACAATCTAATGGAATTAATGGTAAGTAGGAATGTGAAGTCTCTACAGATACTGAATCACTGACTGCCATGAGAAAAAGCTTCTTTAAATTTCTGGCTCCAGTTAAGAACCTGACCCATTTTCCCCTATTGTCAAGAGTGTTAGATTGTTCACAGGCCATAATACTACTAATAATCCAGAAGTCTAGTATGCACACCTGTATCCTGACCCTCAGTCTCCTTTCCTGCATCACTCTTGGCAGCCAAGCCTGGGGTGGGAAGACTTCTGGTCCAAGGCTCTGGTGGACACCTAGAGCACGGTGCCCTGTGGGCTTTAGAGACTCAAACAGCATAAGTCACATGCTTGGCCACACCAAGATGCTCTTTGAAGCGGAGCTTGTATTCCTCTTTCCTTGAGCCAGAGATAAGGGGTAAACTCTTGCTTCATTCCTCTTCCGGCAGCAGAGATTCGTCCACCTCCCACCTCAGCTATTCTTTCTGCTGTTGTGCAGTGTCTCAGCCAGTATTACACATCAGTATTGAGCCACACTTAAGGAAATTACTATGTTTAAAAACAAATCAGCAAGACATGATATCGAACAGTAAGGATTTGCAGAAGAAGATTTTTTCATTTGAGGACCCAAGAAAAGTTGCTTTTAGAGTTTATTTAAGTGCCTTAGCGTCTGGGTTGCCACACGCTCTCAGATAGAAGGGCTGCTTCTAAAGGGCCATGGGTGTGTACCCAGGACAGCTTTTCATTTTATCTACACTACTATTTCCTACTCTCTTCTGCAGATTGCTCCCAGGGAACTAGACTTTATTAATAGAAACATAAATGTATTTAAAAAGTATTTCTGCTACCCCTGGTTTTTAATGATAGCATTGACATATTTAACAAAAACCAAATCTCTTGATTGTAGATACACAACGCTGTCCTATCGAGCACCAGAAATGGTCAACCTGTACAGTGGCAAAATCATCACTACGAAGGCAGACATTTGGGTAGGTGTCAACTAACCTATCCGCATCTCAGATACCAGCAGTCTTGACTGTAAATTCCCAAGTCTAATCCAGGCAGTGCCATAGCAAGCGTGGCCACTGTACCATATCACTGTCTCCCTATCTCTCAGAGTTATTCTCGGGGTGACCTGCCACTGCTCCGTGAAGCATGTCAAAGGAAATTATTTTAGAGCTCTGTGAAAATTATTCAGGTGACCTGCCCATTATTTAGGTGGTTTTCATATATGTGTTACTAGTTCCTAAGAGCGAAATAACTGAAATACTTGTTCTTTTTCGGAACACCATTTGGTAATGCTGGTAGAAATATCGTAACTCAGCAGCTAAATAGTGGTGCTGAGTTCTAAATTCAGGTTTCTTCTAATAGGTTAATAGTACGTAGCTTTTATATCTGCTAGTAAGTGTGGATGATGCCAGTATGTCTCAGTAGACCCATTTGCAGTTATGGTAAATAAACCACTCGTAGCAATCTGCTTTATTTTTTTTAGGCTCTTGGATGTTTGTTGTATAAATTATGCTACTTCACTTTGCCATTTGGAGAGAGTCAGGTGGCAATTTGTGACGGAAACTTCACAATTCCTGATAATTCTCGATATTCCCAAGACATGCACTGCCTAATTAGTAAGTATCTCAAGTTTCTGGTTTCATATTTTTATCTCCAATCTCTAGGAATGAACTGGGGGGACAAAGGGATTAGATCCCAGGAGTGATGGGTTGGATGCAAAGATAGATAAGTCGATAATAGTGGGTCACTCAAAGATAATACCACAGTGTCTAGTTAGAGTGGTAGGTCTTTTTGCTAGAAATCTAAACTCTCTTAGGCTTGAGCAGAAATCCTAACAGTGCTTTGAGCAGTACAGTACAGTACCGCTCTGTTCTCTTGCAGTCAGTATGAAAGAGTCCAGCTGACTCCTATCAAGTGATAAGAAATTCATCTCTGCAAAACTGGAAGCAACTCAAATTGAAATGATTGCTGTGCGTTGGCTGGAGTGAATACATAATTAAGACTGTATAACTCTGTGGGACTAGGTTTTTTTTCTCTCTTTAGGTTAATCCCTGGATTTTGATAACAAGCATTTAAGCTCAACGCTTTGTTTGAAATGTTTTTTAAGATTCCCCACTCTTTTGCATCGTCACAGCAAGCATATGTACTAATTCATTAACCAGATGGCAGAACAAGCAATCTTTGCACAAGCCCTTGTGCGCAAATGTGAAAGAGATATTTTGTCATCTTTTTGCATTGGTCAAGGGATTCAGCATCTGAATTTTAACCATTATGGGTTATAAATCTTGAGTGACCCAGTTTGGGTCCTGGGTGGGGCTGTACTGAAGAAAACAGAAGCAAATGTGGGGTGGAGCATCTGACATTTGTTAAGGGCCTACTTGTACCTTATTTAGTTCTTCAAGTCTTATGTAGTAAATATAATTATCCCCGTTATACAAATGAGGAAACTGAGGCTGAGACAGTATAGGTAACTTACCCAAGTTACCATAGTTACAGCTTTTCTCAAAACAAACAAACAAAAAAACCCCAAAATAAAAACATAGTTACAGCTTTGAGATCACTACCTATTCCACAGTGCCAATTTTATCAATCAACTTCTTCTGTTTATTAACCAAAAAAAGGAGGGAGAGGGTATTTAAATAAATGGACTATGGCATTCAATGGTTGTTGAACTGTTTTCAGAGGTAAAGCATTAGAGTAGTCCCTCCTTATCCGTGGTTTGGCCTTCCACGGTTTTAGTTACCCGCAGTTGACTGCAGTAGAAAGCAGATGGTCCTTCTTTTGACATCTAGTCAGAAAGGTCAGTAGTAACCTAACATTACGTCACTGTGCCTGTGTCATTCACCTCATTTCATCTCACCACGTAGGCATGTTATGCTCTCACATTGTCACAAGAAGGGTGAGTTCAGTATAACGAGATGTTTTGAGAGAGAGAGAGAGAGGCCACATTCACATAACTTTTATTGCAGCATATTGTTATAATGGCTCTACTTTATTATTGTTGTTAATCTCTGACTGTACCTAACTTATAAATTGAGCTTTGTCATAGGTGTGTATGTAGAAGAGAAAACATAGTATATATGGGATTCAGTACTATCCGCAGTTTCAGGCGTCCACTGGGGGTCTTGGACCGTGTCCCCCATGGATAAGGAGGGACTACTGTTCTAGAATTGCAGCTTCATAAATGAAGGTTGGAAAGAGATAGATAAGAAAATGGCCAAATTTGATGCTAGAATGGTAGGATAATTTTGTAATACATTTTTTTTTTTTCACATTTGGACAGCACGTTCATACTGGGAAAAGCAAGTCTTTGACACTGACATCTTTCCAAGCTCTGACCTATTTCAGTTTACAAACTACTTGAAGATTCCATGGTCTCTCTAAGGTCACAGTTGTAAAATTTATTGTGATTGCCCATTTACTCCCAATACACAGTTCCCCTCTGTTTTCAGTTTGTATCAGTGGTGTCACCATTCAAGCCTGGATAACTGAAGTTTAAGGTTTAGATCTGGCTCATAAGACAGAGTAAAGAGTCAGCCATTTTCTAAGCAGCATTCTTTCTTTGGAGTTTCTCCTGGTCCCATCCCATTCTCTGTTCCCATCACTGTCACCACGGTATATAGAGACTTGGCCAACTCACGCCTGTACTGGTGGACTGGCCAGCTGTCTCCCTCCTCCCTCAGTCGTCCGAGCACCGCTTCACCATGAGATCAGTCTTACAGAGTGCCGCCCCGTCAGGTCCCTATTAGTAAACGTCATGATTTGCCAGTGGTCCTACAGTAGGGCCCAGCTTCTCCGCGTCGCATTTCAGACCCTTCATACTCTGCTTCCCCACCCCCGCCCACCCGGCCTTATTTCCCTGACAAGGAAGTCGTTCTGTCTTTCTGGCACCTGCATTTCCTCACAACAGGGCACTCTTTTGCCTTTCTTCAAGTCTGTTTTTGCCCAGACAGACTGTTCTGTCATCGAGAATATCTCTTTCTCCTCTTTCCCCTGACTGACGAAACTCTTTCGTGCCTTCAAGGCCCAGCCCAAACCCTGCTTCTTCTGTAAGTCCTCCGCAAGACTGCAGCCTCATCAGTCTTGCCTGCACTTGGTGTTCAAACCATTCATTTGATTCCTTAAACAGTAAATTGCCTTGCATCGTTGTTGGTGTGTATGCATGTGTCTGTCTCTGTGTCTTCAGAAAGATTTTTTCCTGGGGATTTTTTCCAGCTTCAGGGCAGAAGCTTAAAGGACCTGGAAATAAACAAGTGTTCTATAGATCATGTAAAAGTAGAGATGTGTTTATTATTTTATAATTTCTTTTAGAATGGAAACCAGTTAATATCTCCAACAAAGGAATAATAAGTCAGTTCTTAAATTTTTTTCTTTTTTTCAAATATGAAATTTATTGTCAGATTTGTTTCTATACAATACCCAGGCTCATCCCAACAGGTGCCCTCCTCGATGCCCATCACCCACCCTCCCCTCCCTCCCACCCCCCCATCAACCCTCAGTTTGTTCTCAGTTTTTAACAGTCTCTTATGCTTTGGCTCTCTCCCTTTCTAACTATTTTTTTTCCTTCCCCTCCCCCATGGTCTTCTGTTAAGTTTCTCAGGATCCACATAAGAGTGAAAACATATGGTATCTGTCTTTCTCTGTATGACTTATTTCACTTAGCATAACACTCTCCAGTTCCATCCACGTTGCTACAAAAGGCCATATTTCATTCTTTCTCATTGCCACGTAGTATTCCATTGTGTATATATCAGGGAAATACAAATCAAAACCACACTGAGATACCACCTCATGCCAGTCAGAGTGGCTAAAATGAACAAATCAGGAGACTATAGATGCTGGAGAGGATGTGGAGAAACGGGAACCCTCTTGCACTGTTGGTGGGAATGCAGACTCCACTCTGGAAAACAGTGTGGAGGTTCCTCAAAAAATTAAAAATAGATTTACCCTGTGACCCAGCAATAGCACTGCTGGGAATTTACCCAAAGGATACAGGAGTGCTGATGCATAGGGGCACTTGTACCCCAATGTCTATAGTCAGTTCTTAAAGTTTGAGTTTTGAAGGGCACCTGACTGGCTCATTCAGTGGAACATGAGATTCTTGATCTCAGGGTTGTGAGTTCTAGCCCCACGTAAGGAGTAGAGATTACTAAAAGAAGAAGAAGAAAAGGAGGAGGAGGAAGAGGAAGAAGAAAAGAAAGTGAAAAAAAAAACCCACTGAGTTGTGATTATAATTATCAAGGATAATCATTTGTTTAGCAAGATATCATGAACTAAGGAAGGCAGAAGCAAGACTCCATAACTTCCTAGGTACCAGAATATGAAGGTGGTAACTTTCATACTGAGAGTTTGCATGAGTCCCTGTTGCACAAGTCACAGAAGGTGAACTTCAGGTATCTTTGTTACAGTTCAGAAATTTTGTTACTTTCTTGTGGATGTTACAAATGTTCGGGAAGTTATAGCTTTCATTTCGGAGAGGGTAGGAAAAGAGCTAATTATACTGTCTGACTTTTATGAGAAATAAAAATGAAAATAACATTTGGTAACAGAAATTATACTTCCTAGCTGATATAATAAGTATTAGAATATTATTAAGTAAATTCACATATGTTTGCCTTAGGGTATATGTTGGAACCAGACCCTGACAAAAGGCCAGATATTTACCAGGTGTCCTACTTCTCATTCAAACTACTCAAGAAAGAATGCCCAATTCCTAATGTACAGGTATGTGAAAGATGCTTTTTAGGGGAAGTAAACATTATCAAATTGTTGTTTAAAATTCCTGAGGTGTTAACCAGCTGCTTAACAATTATAGATGTCCTTTGTTTTATCTGATAGGAGGTGTTCAAGCAAAGCTAAGTATGAAGCAATTACTATAAAGAGAACCCAATTTTCCCATAGAATTTAACTATGGCAATTTAAACTAAGGCAATTACACCAAAAAAAAAAAAAAAAAAAAAGATAAAGTTCCCTCAGGACTGAGTTGAACACTTTGGGTGAAGATTGACCAACTTATTGTCTTGTCAACTTCCTCAGTTCACTAAGATCCAAGTGCCTACTGTATTTACCTAGCAGTGGTAAGGCAGGTTGGTTTCCTAAGGCAGGCCTCTGGACTTGCCCACATACCTACTGGGACGCAAGCCTCTTGTCCTTTGTCCCTTTTCTCCTTTATTGCAGCAGAACTTTCTTGATTCTGCTTCTGCTGTCTGCCACCTATAACACACTCCTTTTCCACCACCCTCCCCACATACATCAGGCCATAAGAATGTTTTCTACACTTTAGTAATCCTAAGCTCTACACTCTGCAGCTTTCAGAGTATAGTGCTTGCAAACACCCTTTTTATGGTCTTAGCATATTTTTCATGTCATATTGTAATCCAGCTCCCTTGAACATTTTACTAATGGCTGCCGTAATGAATACGTTATAATCTGAAATTATCTTCTCAATTTTCCCAATAATGTACTTTTGATGTTACTGTGGGGGCTTGAGGGTGCTGATAAAGAACACTCCTCTTTCACTCCCACATTTGGAATCAGATGTGGAAATCATTCAGACGGAACTCAGAGTATTGGCTTTATTACTAATAAGATTGAGTCAGAGAACGTAGCTTGACCAGTCAGGCTCCCTAACATTAGATCCACATGACTGAGCTGGGAGTGCCTGATTCTGGAGAGAAGGCTGTACCCTAAAGGAGGGAGCGCACAGGTGAGCCAGGCAAGCTCACTTTTTTCTCCCGGTCCTATCAGTCAAATAAGTTATGCTCCTCTCTTGGGAGAGGAATGTTTGGAGAGTGGAAGAGAAGCAAGGAGAGATATTCTAGCAGAAATTCTCCCCACCTGGAAACATGAAGGAAATGGGCAGTCCCTCCTAAAAGCCTAAATATGTACTATTGCTAGTATTCCATTTGTTGGGTTTCCAGATTAAAATGAGGAATCCTGTACAGGAACCCAACATGGCCTTGTTTTTCTTTTGCTGTCCTCCTTCCCCATTCATAAAGTTAAATAACCTGAAACATAATTGAAAGCATTCAGATTGGTAACCAGTTTTTAAAAAGTCAGCTGCATGAGACACCTGGGTGGCTCAGTTGGTTAAGTGTCCGACTTCAGCTCAGGTCATAAACTTGCGGTTCATGAGTTCAAGCCCCACATCAGGCTCTGTGCTCACAGCCCAGAGCCTAGAGCCTGCTTCAGATTCTGTCTCCCTCTCTCTCTGCCCCTCCCCTGCTCACACTGTCTCTTTCTCAAATAAATAAACATTAAAAAAAAAGAAAAAGCTTCACAAGTCTCAGTCCATTTGGTTCTCAGCAGTGCTAAGCAGTTGTCATGTGGTCAGGGACAATAGGACTCCCTTGAGAGCTGGTATTAGGTGGCCGGCGCAGAATCCAGCTGGGAGGAGTTCTACTGGCCTTGTGGGTTGAGGGGTGCCTCACGCACCGTGAGAGGCACTGGCTCAGCAACCAGATGGGTCGTAGCCGTGGTTTTCTCCCAGCGTTCAAGCAGAAGACGGAGTGAACCCCGGCTGGGTGCACTGATGGTTAGTGCTGACTTCTCTAAGGTCTAGCTGATAGCTTAAATGCTAACACAGGTTACAGACATCTCTTTCCCATTCCTTTCGTAACATCACCTCTAAGCTGTGCACAAGGAAGCAAAGGGTCCAGAAGGTTGGGAGGAGGCAGGGGTGGAGTGTGCTGCACACAGGCTGCTCTGTACTCCTCTCCGATATGCTGCCTCCCTGAGTGGGGCTGAGTCTGGTGCAATCTACCTTTGGTTGACTTCCCTTCCCTCTAATAGACATCAGGGTCTGGAAGCCCCTCTGGAACACCCTGACATGTATTTCCATCGGCCCAGTCATACTGGTTATTCTTTTATAAAGAAATCTGCAATGTCCTTTTCTGGTTTCCTTTCAATTTTCTAGAACTCTCCCATTCCAGCAAAGCTTCCTGAACCAGTGAAAGCCAGTGAGGCAGCTGCAAAAAAGACCCAGCCAAAGGCCAGGTAAGAAGTGCCTGCCTGAGCATGCACATGTCCTGCACCCGCTGCCACAGTGGCAAGGGAAGGTGCCTTGTGACTGTTACACTGCTGCGGCCCGAGGCCACACAGAGCAGGAGAGCAAGTTCTGTCTCTTCTAGGCAGAAACTGTTCTGTGGGAGTGCAGGGAGGAGCATAGTGAAACACAGTGATATACATTTGAAAGAGAATCAAGAACTCTGCAGCTGTTTCTTTTGCTTGGGAAGAGGCACAGGGGCATTCAGAGACGAGGCAACAGCAGACTTTAAATACTGCTAGTACCAGAGGGTCCTAGATGTGTGTCCTGACCCTCGTGTAGCCTGGTTCACCACCCTAGTCCTTCACCTCCCCTTCTTTCTTACTTCCTGTGGCCCTGGCCATATCAGGAGAGTGCAGGTCAAGGCACTGACTCCATGAACAACAGCAGGAGAGCTTGTGGAGCTTAGTTAATCACATACCATGGGGTGTGGGGTCTTTGAAGAAACAAATGCCAAGAGAGGATTGAAGAAGCTAGGATTTTATTTGGCTGTGAGAGAAATTAGGGAGGGAGCCACAGAAGGCTGGGAGAATCATCAGAAGGCAATGGAAGTCTAGACCAGAGAGAGGAAGGAAGATTGGGTGGAAGTGACCTAGAAACTGCCACACAATTTAAAGAAAGTTCACCAAAGGTGTCCGGGAATCCTCAAGCCAAGGTCAGCTACCAGAGGAGTCCCGGTGTTCCAGAAACAGGCCAACTTTAATATCCCTGTGACTGGGGTGCAAAGGCTGACAGCAGCCTATGGGAAGCATGGCCTCAGAGCGAACATGGCAGTGGATTTCAGGGGCACAGCAGCTGGGGCACATGGTCTTTGCACCCCTTACATGTTGAAGGTCTGCAGGGCGTATCCTCATGGCTGCCATGCTTCCAAATGGCAAATGCTGAGGGTAGTCGAGGAGACATTTTATGCCTTTTTTTTTTCTACCGTGTTCCTATGCCAAGGAAACATTACCAGCAAACTATCAACAGGGTACCTTACATGGGAATATGTGAATTTTCATAGAGGAGTAAAATAATTTCTACATTTTAAAACATTCTTAAATATTTATAGAATAAATATAAATGCTGATGTGGCTCTAAAATACTTCTTTTTAACAAACTTAGCAAACTATATCCATGTTGTTATTTTGTAGTCATTCTTACCTAACTCTGCCATGCTCACCTCTGGAAATTTCTTTGGGGGCTGATTTGATTAGCTGAGCATTTGGGTTTATGGGCATATTTCACCAGGCCCAAATATGGTGGGTACTGAGGCTAAGCAAGGATCCATTCCCGCAAAGCCCACACATTTATAACAGTGACAGTAACCTACCATTTGAGTGGTGCTCTGAGTGTAAAATGGAGAAAATAATACCTGCCTCATATGGCAGATGTGAACAGCAAATGCATCAGTCCCGTGAAACTGTTCTATAAGCTGTAGAGTGCCCAAGCTGTTGGTTTGTATGGATTCAGTAATGCTGCGAGAATACACAGACCTTACAGCCAAGAGATTTGGGTTATCTATAATTTGCAATGATTTCATTTGTGTTCTCATATTTACTCCCCAGTCCCGAGCGATGAGTTTTTCTTTCTAACTCTAGTTTTGAAGTAACCACTCTTCACTGAGGCATCATGTGTACCAGACCATAGCAAGTTCTTTATATAAATAAGATGACTTTATTTTCCTTGAAATGAATCTGAGTTATTGCTGTTGTTCTCATTTTACAGATGAGGAAACAGACTCCAAATTATAAGTTGCCCAAGGCAGTTAATCAATGTGGTTAGTAAGAAACCCAGAACTTCAGCATCCATACTCTGCTCTGTACGTTAAGTGATTTGTTCACAAGCACATAGATAGGACAACGTAGAGCCAGAGCTCCTGGCCTCAGGGTCTGTATTTTTTCACAGCACATTGAAGTCATATAGACTAACATTTTGAGTACTCTACAGTTCATAAGAACAGGTTTACAGTCATTGATGCATTTGATGTTCACATCTGCCTCATGATGTATTTTTTTCTCATTTTTACACATAAGGGACCCAAGGCAAGAAGAAGTAAAATGACATACCTATTATTGCACAGTTAACGGGGAGCTAAACTCAAATATAGTTTTGTTTGACTCCAAATCCCTTTATCTCTAGGATGTTACCCTTAAGAGAAATCCATCCAGTGTGGAGGTTCTTAGTATTTGGTTTCTATAGAAGTCTCTTTGACTCTCTCACCCTTAGCTTTATTTTTCTTACACCTTTTTCCTCTTCTCCAAATCTGTCCCATTTTCCCTCCTACCCTTCCCCAGGTTACAGCCCCCCTAAATAAAATAGCTTTTATATTATCAGTTTTCTACCCCGCACAAGAACAGCCTTCTAGCAGGATTTCAGAGGAAAAGCCTCAGGGTCCACAATGGAGATATGTCATAGGGAAGGACATGGGGCTGGCTGCTTTGCTTCCTGCTTTGCATTTCATGGAGGCTGTGCCACACATATTTTGGAAATATTCATGAAGCTTTTTTGGCCTTAACTTTAGTTATACTCTAAAGTGCTTTTTCAAAAGACAACTACTGTGATGTACCTGGGTGGCTTAGTTGATTGAACGTCTGAGTCCTGATTTTGGCTCAGGTCATGATCCCAGGGTTGTGGGATCAAGCTCTGTATTGGGATGCTGAGCATGGAACCTGCTTAAGATTCTCTCTCTCTCTCTCTCTCTCTCTCTCTCTCTCTCTTCCCCTCTCCCCTGCTCATGCTCTCTCTCTCTAAAATATTCTTGGAGGGGCACCTGGGTGGCTCAGTCAGTTAAGCATCCGACTTCAGCTCAGGTGATGATCTCACGGTTCGTGGGTTCGAGCCCCGCGTCAGGCACTGTGCTGACAGCTCAGAGCCTAGAGCCTGCTTCAGATTCTGTGTCTCCCTCTCTCTCTGCCCCTCCCCTGCTCACTCTGTCTCTGTCTCTCTCTCTCCCTCTCTCTAAAATAAATAAACTTTTTAAAAAATTTTAAAAATAAAATAAAAATGTTTTTAATTTAAAATACGTTAAAAAAGGGGCGCCTGGGTGGCGCAGTCGGTTAAGCGTCCGACTTCAGCCAGGTCACGATCTCGCGGTCCGTGAGTTCGAGCCCCGCGTCGGGCTCTGGGCTGATGGCTCAGAGCCTGGAGCCTGCTTCTGATTCTGTGTCTCCCTCTCTCTCTGCCCCTCCCCCATTCATGCTCTGTCTCTCTCTGTCCCAGAAATAAATAAACGTTGAAAAAAAAATTAAAAAAAATAAAAATAAAAATAAAATAAAATAAAATACGTTAAAAAAAAAAAAGTCAACTACTCTGATCTGAGTTAGGTAGTAGCCAGCTGCCTGGACTGCTCTAAATGAATGGAAGTTACCATCTGAACTTTAGCACCATCATAAGGAGCAAGTAGACCATACAGCAGTCCTCCCTGTATTAATTTGGATTAGATTTGGCTGTGAGTTAAAGAGAGTCCAAAATGATAGTGGGTCATATAAGATAGATATTTATCTTTTCTTTCAAGTAAGCAAAGTCGAGGTAAGTAGCCCATGCCATCTCTATGATTGTGGCCGTGACCTCACAGACCAAGATGGTAGCATCCCTGCTCCAAGCAACAGGATGAAGGAATAGCCAAAGAAGAAGAGAGACAAATGGCATACACTACTTATTTCTTAAGGTTTCTAGAAATTACCATATAACAATCTGGTTTCCCATGTAGGGCCAAAACTTAGATGCATTGGCCACATCTGATTGTAAGAGAGGCTAGGCAATGTGATTTTTACTCTGTGGCCCGGTCCCCAGCTAAAAAAAATTTTAATTGAAATATATTTGACATATAACATTGTATGAATTTAATGTGTACAAGAGCTAAGCATTTTATTACCCTGGAAAGAAGAACACGTGTATTGGAGGAAATAGATATGTGTCATATTCCCCAAATCCTTTATCTTAAACATTTACTTATTCCTTTTAGTTGCCTTATTGGATTCACTCATTTGCATGCTTTTTATTGTAGAGAGACTATTTTGACATGGTATTAGAAGGGTCCCAAGGTCAGATTAGCTAGAGAAACATTGTATTCTGTATAGTGCTGTCTTCGAAGTTCTGCATACACATTCACAGGTGAAAAGTTCTTCTGGAAAGAAGTCTGCTTGGTATATTTTGAACAGTGTGTTAAAACTTATTTCCCACCAAACCTTCCTTCATAACATCTTGTAACACATAATACCCTGTGGAACACCCTTTGGCAGATGTCGATTAAGCAGATCTGGAAGATTTGGATAGGTGTGGATGGGAAAGCCAATCAATCTATCAAGTACTCTGTCTACCCCTCCTCACCTTCCCACACTTTAACATGAATCTGTTTTCTCCCCTTTCCTTTCCTAGACTGACAGATCCCATTCCCACAACAGAGACTTCAATTGCACCACGTCAGAGGCCTAAGGCTGGGCAGACTCAGCCAAACCCAGGAATCCTTCCCATCCAGCCAGCTTTGACACCTCGAAAGAGGGCCACAGTTCAGCCCCTGCCCCAGGTTGCAGGTCAGTAACTAGGTTGGTTTGAAATTTGGTATACCTCTTTGTTATCCTGCACATTACACAAGTCTTGGGAAGCCCACTTTTCCTTCAGGAATGGAATTCAGAGGCACAAAAGAAATAATGGTTTGCCTTCAGGAACAAGAGGTGAACTCCCATTGAAATTATATGGCAAGTGGCTGTCCAAAGGAGAATCCTCTCACTGAATTTTGTGGGGGACCTCCATGACCACTGAAGCCTGATAACTCATTTTTTCTAGTCTTGGTCCTCATTTTGTGGCTTGGTCCATTCATCCCATGCCTTCCTTTTTATTTCCTATATTTCTCTTTGCTTTTAAAGAAACAAGACCCTCCTCTTTTTGACAGAGGAATGGTTTCTTTAATGTTCTGTCTCTTAAAGTATCTGTTACCACTCTGTTTTGGTATTCTGGTTCTAATAAGATAACTTAGTTTAGAGGATCTAAATTATCAAGTAACTGAACTTAGTCATTACTTCCCCTATTAGGAAGCTGTTTTTGATGAATTTGGTAGTTATCTGCTTATAGCCAGGCATCTAGACTGGGGTTGCATAACTTACATGTAAAACATCAAAGAATGCTTTTGTCCTAAAGAATGCCAGTAAGTGCAAAGATCATGTTTGTGTGCAGGGGCATCTTACTGAACCTTGTTTTGAAAAATATGAAGCACATAGTTTAGCGAGAAGAAGTGCGAAGACAGGAGCACGTGGATCTTGGGGCTGTTGGTCCACTTATCACCCCCCTCTTTATTGCTTTGGCAAGGGAGAAAGCAAGCTGTTTTCGTCTGGAAGAATTTTGGGCCTTTATATGGAGTTTATTCTCATTACAGGATCCAGCAATCAGCCTGGCCTTTTAGCCAGTGTTCCCCAACCCAAAACCCAGCCCCAACCCAGCCAGCCTCTACCGCAGTCTCAGCCCAAGCAGCCACAGGCTCCACCCACCCCACAGCAGACGCCTCCCACTCCAGCCCAGGCTCTGCCCACTCCAGCCCAGGCCACCCCCCAGCACCAGCAGCAACTCTTCCTCAAGCAGCAACAGCAGCCACAGCCACAGCAGCAGCAGCCACCGCCATCTTCCCAGCAGCCTGCAGGCACGTTTTACCAGCAGCAGCAGCAGCAGCAGGCTCAGCAGGCTCAACAGGTAAGCTGTTCACAGTCTTCTTTTGCTTGGCATATCTGAGACAGTGCTGCGAAAAGGCCCAGTAGGTACAGGCATCTTCCTTGAGAAGCCCTGGGAAGGCAGAGAGCCACTAGACATGACATCATTGCTTCTCCCAGAGGTAAATACTAGAAAACACTGAGTAGTGGAGCCGTCACTGGGACACTCACACCCCTTTCTCTTCACCTGGATGGAGGAAACTCAGCAAGGGAGATATTTCTTGAGAGAGAGAGAGAGAGAGAGAGAGAGAGAGAGAGAGAACAAGCAAAAGAGCATGAGCAGGGAAGGGGCAGAGAGAGAGGGAGACAGAGGATCCAAAGCAGGCTCTGCACTGTCAGCACAGAGCCTGATGTGGGGCTCGAACTCACAAACCTCGAGACCATGACCTGAGCCTAAGTCCGACACTTAACTGACTGAGCCACCCAGGTGCCCCTCAAAGGAAATATTTTAAGGACTCTTCTCTCTTCTTTTTCTAATACAACTGCATCGTTACCATACTAAAATAATTTCTTATTATTATAAAATATCCAGTAACATTTAACTCTTCCTGATGTCTCATGATTTAAGTTGGTTTGTTAGACTCAAGATCCAAACAAGGTCCACCACATATTATATTTAGTTGTGATATATCTTTTTTCTATCATTATCTTTTCATATATCTTTTCTACATTTTTTTACTATGAACATATTCATTTTATAATAATTGACGTATCTTTTAAGTCTCCTTTTATTCACACATGCCATCTCCCTCCCTCTTTTTTTCCCCCCTCTGCCATTCAGTTTTTTGAAGAAACTGGGTCATTTGTCCTGTAGTATTTTCCATCTCTGGATTTGGCTGATGCATCTGTGTGGTCACTTAATATGTTCCTCCATCCTCTGTGTAAGCTGGTCATTTTTTGAGGCTTGCTCCATATTTGATTCAGTTGACTCATTCTTTGTTCTTCTGGTTGTATCACATCAGGAGGCGTATAAAGTCTGGTTGTCTTCTCTTTTATTAATATTAAGATCAGTCAGTGAGTTTGGTGTCTGTCTGATCCATTCATTTAATGCCCCTGATCAGTTTAGCAGCCACTGCTGATCATTTCCTAAGTCCATTAACTCCTTAGGGACGGCAACATGGTGGTATGCTAACCTTCCCCCTCTTCCCTGAGGGGCTGGAATTTTTCTGTGAAGAATTTTTCTCAACTACTTGATGACCCTGAAGTACTGTTTATACAGAAAAGGTAGAAAAAATGCTTGATTCTTTTCCCCCGTGTTTACCAGTTTTCAGAATGGGTTTGTTCCTAGTGTCATCTGATGGTGAACAAAGAGGTTTCTGTTCTGTTTTAGCATCGTCATGAACTCAGGGATTTTAACATATTTGATACATTTCCATGCATTGCCATTTTAAACATTTTGATGCTTGAATTGCCCCAGCTTTGGCCAGTGGAAGTCTTTTCAGATTGACTCCTGGGTCTTTTGGTGGTGACCCAGCCGTCTTTAATGGTTTCCTTGCTATTTAGTGTAACAAGCCCTTCCAGGGTCACTCTGCCCTTGACCTCGACCTGGATTTCTCTGAAGGAGCTCCATTTCCTTTTAATGGAAATTGTATTTAGAGACCACAATCTTGTTACTAAAGATATTCATTTGCTAATAGGTTGGTTATTGTTTTTAAGCCTTTTCAGTGGATACTTGGGAAATGTATTTTGTTCGTTTTGTTCTGTTAATAGAATATACACCATGAATCCATGGTATTAAGATTTCTTTGCCTTTTTCATTCTTAGAATGTTTAGCTCATTATTTTCTACAGAGTTTGGCTATAAATTTGATACACAGGTTTATTTGTTTCATTTTGCTTTTGATTTATAGTTATTGCTGAATTTTGGTTTAATTTTGTTTCATTAAAATATAAAACAGTAACAGAATTTCAAAGTTAAATCTACAGAATTCTGTCCGCTCCATCCCGTAATAGAGAGAGAGAGCCCTCATTCCTGTTTACAACTTGAGAGTATTCCCTTTTAAAGACACATAGCATGGTTTATTCAACCAGTCCCCTGTTGATAAACATTTGGTTGTTTCCAGCATTTTGCAGTTATAAACAGGCAGCTATTTATTGACATCAGCTTCTTTGCTAACCCTTTACCTTTGCCCCAGGAGGCAAACAGTGTCCTCTCAGTTAACTCTACAACTAAGTAACAGTGTTTGGGAAGTTCAAAGACAAGATCTTGACTTTTGTTAACCAGTAGGCCCTTGTTTGACCTCTGTGCGTATATGCTTACTCTGTGTGTGTGTGTGTGTGTGTGTGTGTGTGTGTGTGTGTGTGGCACACAATGCTTAGCAGTGCAGAGTAGAGGGATGGATAAGAAGTATCTGTATCCTGAGGCAGGGAGAATATAACTTGAAACAATTAGTTATCAGTGTGAGATCAAATATCCGTAATAGTAAGATAGAGCCATCGGGACATAATTTTCAGAAGGGCTTGGAAGGACTCTATTAGCTGGGCTAGGATTTAGGTCATTCTTTTCGGTGTCATCACTGCTTCATCCTGTTCATGAAGCATTTTGATCGTGGCTGCTCCCAAATCCCTTTATAAGCAGGATTACCTCTGTGATTGGGAGATGATTTATTAGCTTCTGTTACACTCCAGCATGGGGAGTCACAAGCTGCCCAGTCAAATGGAAGCCCTCAGGCTCGCCGTAGAAACCCACCCGGAAGCCAGTGTGCAGTGCAGGAGGCAGCACCGTGCAGTGGATGCAGCCTGGCAGTGGAAGGTGCCGCCGGGTCCATTGTGGTGCCCCAAGGTTCCCCTCGTGAGTTGTCAGGCCAAGCTAAAAGACTTCTGCCCACCCTTGCCTTTGGCCTCGGACTGGGCTTAGCTGTGACTGAGACATTTGTGTCTTGTGGAACATTGTTCAGAGACAGGCTTTCTTCACCTCCCACTTTCTTGCCGCTCCCCCTGCTTAGTTTCAGGCAGTACACCCAGCAGCCCAGCAACCAGCAATTGCCCAGTTCCCTGTGGTGTCCCAAGGAGGCTCTCAACAGCAGCTGATACAGAACTTCTACCAGCAACAACAGCAGCAGCAGCAGCAGCAGCAGCAGCAGCAGCTGGCCACGACCCTGCATCAGCAGCAGCTGCTGACTCAGCAGGCCGCCTTGCAGCAGAAGAGTGCTGTGGCAGCAGCACAGCAGCCCCAGACACAGCCGGCCGCAGCCCCACAGCCACCACCGGCCCAGGAGCCAGCGGTAAGAGCCAGCCAGGGCTCAGAGCAGAAGAGCACACAGTGAGGGCGGGCGAGAGGTGGAAACCCAGGGGCGGGGCCCCTGTTTAGGCTGGGCCTCTTCCCCATTCTTATAGTCCAAATATTTGATTTTTTTTTCTTGATATTTTCCAAGGTCGTGATGAAGTATTCTGTAGAAGATAGAGGTTCTAAAAAAGATGATCCTAGGCCACTGATGAAGTGAACATTTTTATTTGTAATTCTAAAATTAGACTGGCAGAAAGAGTTGCATGTTGTCTCTATCAGTGCCACTGATGAGCAGTCAAGGACCTGGGTAGGATTAGAGCTAACCCCTTTCTCTTCGAGGGCCAGTTTGGCCATCATGACCTTTTCAATCTCTGGAGGTTTGGTGTGGGCTCCCAGCTTTACCCTGAGTCCTGAGGGTGCTTTATTTATTCTTTGTCTTGGATGACATTACCAGCCACCTCATTGAAGTCTACTGTGCAGCCGCCTTCGGGGGCCTCCTTGCTGGGACTGTTGACCACGGCCTAACCCTCTGGGTCTCTAGGCATCTGAGTACTGTTTGAGCCGCCTTGTCATGCTAGAAACTGGGCATGTCCACTTCTAGAGACTGCCTGACTACAGCATCAGAACCCCTGCCTCCTCTCCTGATTGATCCGTACAGCTTCGGCATTCTCAGGCACATGGTGTTTGGCCTCTACTAAGTGCTCTTAATTCTGTACCCACATATTTCTGAGTGACAGTGAAGAAAATATCATGGTGATAGAAAAAAGGCACTTTATGTATCCAGCCAATAGAGTATCACGGCTACTCTCTTATTCCCAGGGAAGTCCAGCTACTAGACAAATGAAAGAAAAGTAAGAAGTCATCTTTCTGAGGATTGGTTTCTAATAGAGTCTTGTCGCCCGTCTCAAACCAAAAAAAACCTTTATTCCTTCAAAAGGAAGCAGTACCGTAAATAGATTGTCTTCTTTGAGCCTCAGCTAAGTGTGTGTTCAGTGTCTTTACACCTTCGTTTCTAAAACAGCACAGTCTTCCTGCAGGCGTGTGGTAGACAGCCACTCTCTGTGTTTTTAACAAGACCTAAAGTTCCTTTTGTTAATGGAAAAAGGGTTTTTAAAAAATTATTATATGATGTAGGTAGTTGAGATATTAATTGTCTAGTCTAATCCCCTTGTTTAATGGAATTGGAAACTAGGCCCAGGCCAGCAAGGGATTGATTACTCAAGACGCACAGACTGACAACAGCAGAGCAAGGGAAGGAACCAAAGAATCCTGATCTGCGTTCAAGGATAATAACAAAGATGCTCATCCAGGGGGATGAAATGATCAACAGCCATTGACTACACTTCTTATAAGGTTCCCCCTTGCTGTCCCTCTTTTGGGAATGAAATTATGAACCTTCTCCATGTTCCTTGGCTGAAAACATACTTTGAGCACTTGGCTCGAGAGTATTCTGTTGAGGGGACGAAGAAGGAACGGGAGCAGAGCATGCTTCTAGCCAGGAGCCAGAGAGCTTCCCAAATTTGCCTTTCTCCAGTGACCCTTGGCAGGACTTCCCTGGAGAAGCAAGTGAGTGCATGTAAAAGATACCCTGCAGCCACCTTAAAGCAATAATCTGCAAAGGGAAAATGGCAGCCTACCGGAGATACTTGATTGCAGTCTTATTAGTAACAGCCAAAAGAATGGAAGTCACCTAATTGTTCAAGAACCCAACTGTGCAGCCATTAAAAATCATGGTTATAAAGTCTGTACAACAGTATGAACGCACTCATGAGGTAATGTTGAGATTGTGGGGAAAGTATGTACTTGACAAGAGACTTAAATATAAGATACCAAGAAGATAAGAAGAGTTGTATTAGAATACCGTACTAATTGTGGAATGGAAGTCGGAGTGTTTTTCCCCCTTTTGTATATATTCTTGCGTTCCTAGATCTGACTGTACTCCTTGTATAATTACATATTTTGTTTAAAAAAATGTTTAGCAAGACCGACATCTGAGTCTGAGTCTGCTTTACTTCCCCTTCCACCATGGTTTGTGCGTTCCTCCTCCCGCTTCCTAATCTTTGGCAGAGACATGATGGTGAAGAAAAAAGTCCTGAGCCTAGTAGGGAGACAAGGATTCTGTCCCCAGGTGACCCTGTGACCTTGAACAAGCAAGCACATAGCCTTAGGGTGCCTTGGTCTCGGTTCCTTTGAAGTGTGGGAGTTGGAATCTGTGCTCTCCAAGGTCCCTTTGACTCTCACATTCTTAGATTTGAAATGGCAATAAAACTTTCTGCCTGGGAGTGCTTGGGTGGCTCAGTCAGTTGCTCCTGAGCAGCTGGGATTGAGCCCCATGTTGGGCTCTGTGCTGAGCGTGGAGCCTGCTTAGGATTCTCTCTCTCTCTCTCTCTCTCTCTCTCTCTCTCTCTCTCTCT